ATAAACAGTGCTACACTGTGAGCAAACCAAGCATTTTGACAACTACCTCAACCCCAAATTGGGGACTCTGAGCGGTGTGGCTAAAGTGATGTTCCATAATGCAATATGAACTGAGGGTGGCTTCTGGTGAAGTTTTTACCAGGGCAGCATCGACACCATTGCTGGGTCTTTCAAGGTGCTTTGTTGGGTATCAATAAAAAAAGTGTGTGTGGGGGGGAACAAGCAAAGCCATCTTTCAATGTGATAGTACTTGATAGTACCCCAGAAGTCACTACAGCTCACAGCTACCAGAACTCAAACACTGATAGGAAGAAGCTAAAGAATTCAAAAAGCATAAAAAAATCATCAGCAATAAACTATGTATGGAGCAAATACCAGCTTGTGCAGAACAGCCTTCCATTTCAACATATTTAACTCTCTCAGGTCTTCCAAGAGCTTTCTGAATCCAAACTTAAGTAATATGAAAAGCACAGTACTTTCGAATGAGCTGGTAACTATGATCACAACACCAAAACCATTGAATAAGCATCTAATTCTCTGAGCCTTAATGTGTTACTAAGTTAAACCCACAAAGAGTTATAGAGACATAGTTGCTCCTGTCTAGAAGCAGAGGCTCAAGGTGAGCTGTCTACTTCCCTTCCTCTTCTCTCATAACTTTTCTGGCCTCATCACTCAACTGATACTCCCTCCCTCCAAAGTGATAAGCACTCTGTTCATTGCCATATCCCATGACATCTTCTTAGTCCTCAGCCTTATTAATCTACATGCAGCATTTGATACTGGTGAGTCTCTCCTCCTGAATATTCTTCCTTGCCTGGATTTTCATGACACCGTTCTCTCCTGGTTCTCCTCTTAACCCCTTTAGTGGCTCTATCCTGGTCTCCTTTGCCAGATGACTTACCATTTTACAGCTGAGGAAACTGAGGCAGACAGCTGTTAAGTGATTTGCCCAGAGTTACAAAATAAGTAAGTGTCTTAGGCCAGATTTGAATTCAAGTCTTCTTGGTTCCAAGCCCAGGGCTCTATCCCCTGTGCCACCAGCTAGCTGGTGTACATGTACCTGCCTACAGATACGAAGAAAGTCACTGTCTGTGCCGTGGATGTTATAAAGCAGTCCCCTTATTTACTAAGAGGCCAATGATTTTTAGGAGAGGAGAGCTAGAGGAATATACGTGTTAGATCGAGTGTAAGCTCCATGAGAGCAGAGACTCTGTCTTATTTCATCTTCTTATTCCTGGCAAATAGTCTTTCCCGGAGTAAATGCTTAAAAAAACATTTCCGGAAGTGAATTCAAAGAATCGTGTGCAGCATGTCTAGGGCAGAATAGATTCAGAGCTGCAAGGGACCTTTGAGGTCATCTAACTCTTATTTTAAAGATGAGCTGATGGAGGTCAAGAGAGGCAATGTGGGATCTGGTCTAGGTCCCACAGAGAGGAAATGGCAGGTCCTCTGACTGCCAAATCCAGGGTTTGGTTTTTTTTCCAGTCTACCATACTTCCTTGTATTGGTTCAGGACAAACCATCGAGTCTCATCTTCACATTCTGAAGTGACTTTTGTGAAGAAACTGTGATCCCAGGAGCTTTCTGAATAGCAGCAGAATGATGACCTTGGAGACTGGAACAGGAAGCAGGAATCCCTATATGTTATCTGCTACAGCTTGGGATGGCTTTGAAGACAGGAATAAGGGACCAGAAGAAGACACTTTTGAGCAGGTGTGCCTGAGGTGTGCCTTTTACCTATCCTGCTACATGCCCAGTGCTGGGCCTGGGCAAAGCCATTGTGCCTCCTTGGAGGAGGAGGGGGATAGAGGTGACCTAGAGGGAAGCAGCACTTTGAGTATAGAAAATGTCTTTTTGTTTTTCTTTCATTTTCCTCTAAGCATGAGGGTCTTTTTTACAGGTAGCAGTTTTCTTTATTGGTTAGTGCTACTAAGTGACTGACAGCATTCATTGCTGTTGATTTGTTTCATTTGTGTCCAACTCTTCATGACCCCGTGTGGGGTTTTCTTGGCAGAGATACTGGAAGGGTTTGCCATTTCCTTCTCCAGCTCATTTGACAGATGAGGAAACTGAGTCAAATAGGGTTAAGTGACTTGCCCAGGGTCACACAGCTAGTCTGAGGCCAGACTTGAACTCAGGTCTTCCTGACTCCAGACCCAGTTCTCTATCTACTATACCACCTAGTTGCCTTGACTGACAATATGCCCTCCCTTTTAAAAGCAGCTATGATTAAATAATCTTAAGCAAGTTAGCAGTTATGGCCCTGAGAGCACCAAAACTACAAAAAGATGGCCAAGTCAGAGCTTTAACGGATACAGAAGTACCCCAGACTTCTTGGACTCTGTTGAGACTATTGTCTGTGTAATCTGGCTCAGGCACTGAGGTTTTAGAAAGCACTGGAAAAAGGGGACATGGGGGAGAAATCAGAGGTGCATATGCTGAGATATGCAAAGATAATAGTAATAGAAAAAGGGCGAAATGAGTGACTAATAGGGAAATGCTCTATTTTCACAATCTCCCAACTGTAAAACTGTGAAATCTAGCACTCTGCTCAGCACCTACTTGTCAAGAGGTTGTTTCCATGTTCACTGTCTCTGGGAATGTGATATCTAGGACAGTAGACGCAGAGGTGCCTGCCTATGTTTGAGAGAGGCCAGTAATATGGGAGAGATCGGAAACCTGGGAACCAGGAGTTACAACAAGCCTGTGCCTAGAAGGAAGATGCAGCATCAGGACTTTATTTAGTTCCATCCCTTTGAAAGAAGACAGAGTCCTCACTAGACGGGAATGCCCTCTTGTTTCAGAACCTAAGTGATTTGAGATGAGTCAAGAGCCAAGATTTTGATAAGTAGGAATCACTCACTTGTGCTGTTCATATTTGTCTTATCAATAAAATGTTTCACTCCCATCCATGCCATGCCTGCTAACTTTGAGTCTCCCCCAAGGCTCTGGACTAGGCCCTCCTCTCTTCTGTCTCTAAACTGATCTCATCACCTAGCCAGTGAAGTGTGTGGTGGGTAGAGAGCTACACTGTGGTCCTGGAGTCAGAAAGACCTGAGGCTGAGTGTAATCTCAGACACTTAATTGTGGTGTGACCCTGGGCAAATCACTTAACCGCCATCTGCCTCAGTTTCCTTAACTGTAAAATGGGGATAATAACAGCACCTACTTCACAGGGTCCTCATAAAAATCAAATGAGATAATATTCGTAAAGTGCCCTGGCACATTGTAGGCACTTAATACATGTTTGCTTCCTTCTCCTTCTCCCTTTCAGTGGATTCAATTAAAATTTCTATTCAAATGATTCTCAGATCTAGCCCTAACCTCTCTCCTAACCTCCAGTCTTGCATTCCCAATTGCCTATAAGACTTCTCAAATTGGATGTCCCAGTAGATATCTTAATCCCAATATGTACAAAACTGAAGTTATTCCCCCAAACTTTCACCTCTTCCCCTTCCCCTCCCCCCCAACTCTCCCCTCTTCTCAACATTCCTATTACTGCCAAGGACCCCACCATCTTCCCGGTCATTGAGGCTCACAAGTCGGATGTCATCCTCTGTTCCTCATTCGCATTCACCCCCACATATCCAATCTGTTGTCGGGTACTATCATCTCTACTTTTGGAATCTCTCTCATACATGTACCCCACCCCTCATTCCTTTTCTTTGACATAGTGACCACTCTGGTGCAGGCCTTGCAATGGCCTTCTGGTTCATCTCCCTAGCTTCATTTTCTCTCCTCTCTAATCTATCTTCCACTTAGCTACCAAAGTGATCTGGCTGAAGCATAGGATTAAGTAACCTCCTCCTGTCAGTCCTCAGTAAGCTCTAGTGTCTCCCTATTACTTCCAGGATCCAATACCAAATCCTCCATTAGGCTTTTAAAACCCTTCACAGCCTGGATCCTTCCTGCCTTTCCAGTCTTCTTACACTTTACTCCCTTCCACGTACTGTGTGATCCAGTAACACGGGCCTTCTTGTTTTTTCCAGCACATAACACATCTTCCAACTTTTCACTGGCCATCCCCCATGTCTGGTCTACTCTCCCAACTCACTTCCAGCTTATAGCTTCCATGGCTTCCTATAAGTTTCAGCTCATATCATACCTTCTGCAAGAATTCTTTCCTTGTCCCCTTTAATGCATGTTTCTCTCTGAGATTGCTTAGTTTACCCCCTATAGATGTTGAATGTGTGTAGCTGTTTTCCTGTTGTCTCCTCCATTGTACTGAGAGCTCCTTGAGGGCAGGGACTGTCTTTTGCCTTTTGTATCCCCAGCACTTAGCACAGTGCCTGGCACATAGTAGGCACTTAATAAATTCTTGTTAATTTGTTGCTTGTTGATTTACCCACATCAGCTGATCCTTTGAAGTATTCAAGAGATAAAGATAATTAACTGGGGGGGTTGGGGTATGTGGGAGTGGGTGGGAATGAACATTCTGTCTTCTTGATCTATTTGACTGAAAGTATTTACCATATTAACCATTGGAAGGTATCCACTAGCTATTTAATCCAAGTGGTGTGTGTTTGTTTTTTTTTCTTTAGTTGTGGGTTGTGTTTTTTTGTTGATTCATTAGATTTTGTTTTTGTTTTTGCAACACAGACCATATTGGCAGGTTTTGGACTAATCCTTTGTATGATCCCAAAATACTAAATGCTTTTAACCAGTGAGCACATATTACTAACACTGCTTTGGAGGAGGAAAATCACTAAATTTCGTTCTCTCTGAGTGATCCAAGGGACGTGGAATTAGATTAAGAGAAAAAAAAACTAAAATAAGTTCATCTGTTTATCATATTATACAAATAGGGTGAGTTCAGACTAGATCTATTGCCCCAATTTTGTGCTGAGTCGTAGTGGAAATAAGTGGCTCCACTTTGGAGTGACTTTTTTTAACGTATCACATAATTTGGGGAGCATGGTAGGGTGCAAGATTTGGGAATTTTATTTTGGTTTCATGTTTTGTTTTTTTTCACAATTTGCATTTCTTTTTTTTTCTTCCAGGATTAAGTTGTCATCATTCTGGGGAGAAGAAAATCTAATGAAGAGGCCAATAATATGAAGTGAATCATGGTTCAGTTTCCTTTCTCTCTCCCTATGGTGGATTTTATTCAGAAGAAAATTGAAGCTGGCAAAACCCTATTTTCCCTGCAATTTATTTAAAACCTTGCACGCCTTCGGATACCTTGTGATTTCAGAGAACTATGTGAAGATTAAGCTTTGCTTACTGATACATGGCATGTATTCTTCCCAGTCTTTTGTGTTGGATTTTGTTTGATTTTCCACTGCAGCGCGGCATCGTTGTAAAGGTTTTTATGCTTTCACCAGCAAGGTCTTAAATACATTAAGACAACACATTTGGTGTTCACACTTCTCCAGTAATGTCTGTACATAAAAGCCACAGAGTGGCATAAAAGAATGTGTGTTTTCTTTGAGAATAGTTCAACCAGTAGGAAGGCCATTTTTAGCTAGAGCAAACCCATATTCTCTGACTGACTGACAAGGACAGTCCCTGGCCACAATGCCATCAATGTTTTATTTACTTCTTGAGAATCTTTGCATATAGGTTTGATTTTTTTTTTGATCCATGGAAATAATTGCACATTTATTTAGCACATCAGAATTTGGTTCCTGTTCTTAAATTTCATAGCATGCCAGTCATCAGAATAGATTGAAAATGAGACCAGGGCTGGGGTTTGGGTAGGGGAAGGGAACAGGGAAACAAGATATATGAACAAAGACAGTAGTTACTTAATTAATTGGTTCATTGCTATTTGGCCTTCAGAGATCAACGTAACTTTTTTGGTTTCATGGATATTGTCTACACTTGGTTTTTCCCACATTGTCTCATCTTTGGGGTCTTTCCTAAAGGAAAAAAAAAGTTTATGACTAGAGTGTGGAAGAACTATATTTGCTGAATGAGCCATTAAAGCACTAACTTTGCTTGTTAGCTTTAGGAAAAAAAAAAAAAAACAGCATGTAAAGCTGTCCACAGGGAAGTTTGCTTTCTTGAATTCAAAGACCTTCCAGTTCCATTTTGTCTTCATTTCAACGTGATTGGAAGAAGCCACACTGCACACCCATCAGACTAGCTTCCCAAACAAACTTCGCACATTTTAAAAATGATGCAATAGCATCATTTAGAAAGAGGGCCCCAGCTGCCCTTGTTTGAGAACATGAGGGAAGCTTGGGAAAGGAGAAGAAGATGTAAAATCAGAAGCCAAAGGGAGCTAGAAGCGGCTGATTTTCTTGGATCTGGAATGAATGGTGCCTGAATTCAAGAAAACTAGGAGTGCTGTGGAGCTCACTGTTGCATTGTAAACACAGAGCCCAAGGAATACTTCATTCACATCCCCAGGACACAACTTCCCATGGAAACACCAGACTGTACGTTGGCTCAGTCTTACTATTTCCCTCTCGGTTTTCCATTTATTATGGCTACAATGAGAGAAGTCTAGCCCAGTTGACCAGTACTCAATCTTAGAGAGCTTTTTTCTTTCCCCTGTGTTCAGAACACAGCAGAGCAAGGAAGCTGAATGCCAAGATTCACAGGTCTTAGAATTATATGCCTTGTAGAATGTGATGTCACTGCTTAAACATATTCACATGATGGGTGCTCTGAGGATTTGGTGCTCTGAGGATTCAGCATTGATTTTTAATTGTGTAGCACCTGCTAAACCAGGTAGTCTTTGCTATTTGACATTTAAGGAAAGCAAAACATTTGCCCAATGAGAAAATGTTCACTATTTGCTCCCACATCTGTCCCATTCTGTTATCATACATTCATACCAAATTCAAGGTATTTTGAGGCATTTTGAGCCTTTGAAACATTTTGTTTTAAAACTAATTGATATTAGAATTTTTTAAAAGGAAATTACACTCTCAGTCTCCAACACCCTTTTCATGGGTTTGTTCCAAAGCTTCATGTTTCCATTTGGGTGAGAGGCAGATCTTCATCCTGTGGTTAGAATTTACTCTTTTAAAAGTTTTAAAGTTGTTAGCAGGAGGGAGAAGGAAACCATGAAAACATTTACTATAATGAAGGTTCAGATTAGGAACAAGGAGGCCATTCCATAGGCCATCACTTGTTCAATGACAAGTTCTCTAGGAAAGCCAGAAAACATATTTGTACTACGCAATGAAGAAATCTGCTGGTCTGACTTATAAATGAACTGCTGAGGGAGTTAGTTGCCTTTCAGGGAGGCTTATAGGCCTTCTACTTTGCCATCCATGGTTTATAGCCAAAGATTTGGCTGACTCTCTCTTCCATTCTCCTTCACATTCCCTTCTCCTTTTCTCCCCTTCTTGTTTAAATTAGCCCTGGAAATCATGTTCCATTTATTCTTCAGTCGAAGAAGCACTAGAATGTTGGGCAAGTTTATTTTCCTATAAAAGAATAACTTGAAATCAAAGAGCTAGGGTAGTTAGAAGGCTTAAGCACTGTGATTGTATCAACATTACATCACTGCTGAGACTTCTGAATTGGGGCTTGGGATTTGATTTCCATTTTCTTTTTAAAAGAAATATTCTGGTTAGCAATACATCTGCACACAGAACAGGAAAACTTTCCTCTGTAAAGGAAAGGTCTGCAAAACTTACCAAGGGAGGTGGAGGGAAGACGGCTGTCAATCCACCGATAGGAAGGGTGAGAGATATTTCTACCTCCCATGAGTGATAAGAGAAGGTTTGAGGGGGTGACGTTTCCCCTAGGCATTGGTAAAGGACGCGGGCCTCTTGGCATTCTCCGTATGCACATGACTGAAAGTATAGTCCACATTCTATGTTATGCTTCTTTACTAAATACTTATTTGTGAATATTTTTGATTTTATAATCTCTGTTACTTAAGATGTGTAGGCTGTACATACTCGGGTAGAAGGCTGGCACCCCTTTGAAATAGAAATGTGCTGCTTCATCACACCGAAGCCTCTTTCCTGTATGGTGGGTGACGGTAACCTTGTTTGTCACCATTTTGTAATTTTCACACACACACACACACACACACACACACACACATACACACACACAAATAAAATAAAATAAAATAAAATAAAATAAGCAATGTTCCCCTACCCCCACCCAAGGATATTTTTAGTGGCACATAGAAGATCTATGTTCTCTAGCTAGAAATGTTTTTTGTTGGTTTTTTGTTTGTTTGTTTTTTTAACTTTTAGTTTTTGGATGATACACTATGCTGTGTATTTTGTAAAAGGGCAAATGGGCACAAGATGAAGGCGGTCGTGTCATTCAGGAAAAAAAAAAGTACAATTTCTTCACAATGACAGCCTCGTAAGCAGAATGGTATATAATACATGTTGCATTAGTTGTTACAACTTGTACTTTGTCTGTATTATGAGCGATGTAATGGTTTGTCAGCTGTAACTGTTGTTTTCTTGTAACATGATATGGAATAAAGTGTAGCCAAATCTCCCTATATCTTCTCCTATGGATCCATCATAAAGTCCTATCCCCAGACACACACACACACACACACACACAAACACACACAAGATTAATCAGCCTGCAAACTTTTATTAAGTGCCTACTGTGTGCCAGGCATCATGTTAGCCATTAACAAATAGGAAACAACCCCAGCTTTTAAGGAGTTTACAAGATATAAGTATATAACTTGTTTTTCTTTTTTTTTTAAGTGCCATGATAACCACATACCCCCTTCTCCTCCCTGCCCCCCACAAAAGCTACTTTGTAGGACTGGAACAGACAACAAAAAATTAAATGAAACATTCTAGAAGATTCCATTAAAACTGTATTTTATTTGCTGTGCCAGTTTTCCCAAAAATGAGTAGAGACCTTGCGAAACAAACCCATCCATTGCAAGATCTTCAGTATTCCCAAGGCATGATGCAGATGTTCACCACATGTTTCACCCATCACAGATTTCATCTGTGATTTGATCTGGTTTTGTGTAATGACTCTTCCTTTTACATTTTTGTAACTGGCTTTTGCTTTGTGTTTTGCACCTTATCCTATAATGTAGGATGCATCTGTTAGCCTCCATCAAATACATATCAAAGTGCAAGTGGTTTTCCCCCTCCTTAATGTTATACAGCCTGTTCCAGTTGACCTTTCCACCTCATCTCCCTTCCCAGACTCATGTAGCTGAGGGGAACTTTGTGGCCTCCTTTCCCAGAGCTTTCCAGACAACCTAGAATACTAGCTAGGAATAGTGAATGCCTTGAAACAGAACGAGTTTGGGTCAAATCTCAGATTAACAAATGCTGACCTTGGTGGTGATGGATTGACACTGTTAGTAGTCATTAGTATTCATCCCTCTCATGAGATTCATCAAGTTAACAAGAGTTATTCCTGTAATTGATGAAGTTTAACAGTAAATGGGGTGTCAGCTACTCTTGTGGACATGATATTTCATTTTTTTTTACATTTTCCAAAGTGAAGAAATAAGCTCTTTCCTTTAGAGAGAAGAAAACATCATGGATCAGCCCTTGTGTGGCACAATGGGAAGAGAACTGGATCTGGATTCAGAGGATTCCAGGGTTCAGGTCCCAGTTCCACACCTACCACATAGGTAACCTTGGACAAGTCACTTAAATTCAGCCTTGGCTTTCTCAACTATAAAATAAAGGGGTTGGACTAGCTGACCTTTGAGGTCTGGCCTTGCTCTAAATCTACCCACTGTCTGGTAATTTAACATTTTACCAGAAGTATCTTGGGGCTTCACGCTTCCCTTTATGGTCCCCATGCTAAATGTTGATTATTTAATGAATTCTTACAAAATTCCAGTATGTGTCCCACCTCTGACACATATTAGCCGTGTGACCCTGGACAAGTAACTTAGCCTCTCAGTGCTCTAGGCAACTCTGAGACCCTGTTACAGAAAAGGTGCTGACCTATATTGATAAAGGGAATATCTTCATCTTGGAGTAACCTATATCAAAGAAATCAGAGGTTCTATTCTTGTCATTCTCTCATAAAACTTCCTGGCTTATCTTATTCAAGGAAAGTGCAGACTAAGTGACTTCACCAAAAAGTAGTCAATAAGAGGTCTGAGAGATCAAAGAATGTCATGAGGTACACCCCAATGGCTTTAGATACTTGGTCGCAAAGTCTAAGGTCCATGAATGACCCAGAGCCTGGAAAAAAAATAGATGATGACCCTTGATGAAACAAATTGATGATGCATTTTTTTTGTATTAAAATGAGCATCTGCCCTCACATGAGACGCTGGTTGAGATCACAAAGGTGTGAATGAATGAATGAACAAATGAATTAGTGAATAAAGCATAGTCAAAAGACTAACATGCTCCTCAGAGCCCATTAGAAAGGAGCAAGCTAGGAGTTCATCCCACTTTCAAGTAAGTGTGAGGGGAGTGCTCATGTCTAGAGCTCACCATGGAAGCCAACCCAGCCACCATACAAACAAGGACACTGTTGTTTCAGATGTTGTCTGCATGGTATCTTGGGTAAAGAGTGATCTGGTCTGAGTTAAGTCTTAGGTTCAAGTCCTACTTTGACACATGCTAATTGTGTGACCCTGAGCAAATCACTTAACCCCTAGAGTACCCTCAGGTGACAATAAAATAAGTCACAAGACAGTTGGCAGGAATTTCTTTAATGTGATCTCTCCAGACCAGAAATGTGGATGGTGCAATGGCTTCATCTCACAGCATACAGGACAAGTAATCAACATGTTTGGTGGAGAGTTAGAGGGGAGAGCTTGTAGGATCTGTATCCAAGGTAAGAGGAATGATTGCTCAGAAACCTGTCTCAGTTGTATAAAAAGATGGTTCTCCAGGTGCATGGCCGCATCCCAGCATCCATTCAGCTCAGTAATTGTTCAGGGCTTGCTCTCCCGCTTTGGCAGAACTGTGGTGCTGATGTGTGCTCACGGAGGCCGGCATGAAGAGTCAGGAGGGCGGCACTCACTGCAGTCACTGTTGCCCCCCAGAGTAAAGAGAAACCAGAGGGGAAGGTGTTCACACAACCTTGTGCCACTAGGTTAACGTAGACGGTTGCCAGATAATGGCCGTCATTGTCAGCCTTTGGAATGAGAGCCCTACCGTGGCACAGCTGCCTGCTGCTACCAGTGGGTGGTGGTGTTATGGGCATTAGCTTTGAGAAGCTTATAGAGCAGAGGGGCTGGGATAAAGGACACAAATCAGGGGAAAACTGACAAGATTAAAAAAAAATCCAGGGCCTAGTATTTACTGTTCATCCTCCTTGCTTGTGGTGTTATATATTGTCTGCTGTGAGTCATGCTGAGAGAGAGCCAGGCACAATAATAGCTAAGAGCAGGCTTGTAGCCCCCTGAGCTATTCTCCGCCAATGGCGGTTACTGAGTTAGGAGAGAGTGTGATTCTGATAGAGTTGTCTTTTTTCTCCTTCCCTCCAAGACCACCCATAATTATTGAGGATTTACCTAAGATAGGACATGCCTAGATGGGTTTAGGGCTAGTGTAGCTGAGAAGTGGTCCAACCTGGGTCAAAGGGAAGGTATATTCCATGTATCACCACAATTTGTGGATGTTGAACAAAATGCAAATAATAATGGGGTTCGAGGTGGGGGGGTGGTCATTGTGGGCCTGTTTGTTCAACATTTTACAGGTTAAAATAAAACAATTAAATATAAGAATTGAACCCTTCCCTGTTCCGCCTCCACCTACATCTCAAGGCTGTCGCCCAACGTCTCATGTCCACCAAAGAATTCTACAGAGAATGTAGAAAAACATTAATACAACCTGTAACTACACAACCTGTTCACAGCCTTGCTTCATTCAGGGCATTCCTTGGGGATGCTCTTTGTTACACTACACCTATCTTCCTTGGCAGGCTTTATGACAAAGGGAGGCTACCTGGGATTTGATAAAGGGTGAAGGTAAATTTCAGGCGGATACTCCGTTAGATCCATGATGTCATCATCAATGTACTTACTCCCTCTAATGATGCAATCAAACCAGGCAACAAGTATTTATGAAGTGCCTACTGGGTGCCAGGCATGGTGCTAAGTACAAGGGACACAGAGAAATGCAAAAAACACAGTCCATGCTCTCAAGGAGCCTCTTAGATGGTAGATCACAATCCCTCCAAGCCTCTCCATCCACCCTTGGACTCTATATCACTCCTTCTACCACTTGGCCATCATCAGTGCCAAGTAGAAGTCGGGCACACAAGTCTGAGTGCCATTTGAGGTTTTTTTTTCATGTTTTGTCATAGTCGAAGAATTCATGTCCAAATGGTCAGCTGACTGGTAATGAATCTATACTTAACTATGACATTGTTTATTACTGAGAAACCAGGACTATATTCAAAGGTTTTTCTAACATGGTGGAACTTTCCCGAGTTTATACTTCTCTTTCAGAGCCTTCAGGAACCCAGGGTCAGCTCTTCATATAATAAAGTATCAGAGTAGGTCTTTGTGTGAAATAAAGGGCCATAGGGTCTGATAGCAAATGAGCAGGAGCACTGAGTGAAATGGTAAAACATTTCCCTTGCCTTAGTAAGAGGGTTCATAAAAAGTACCTAGGTAGTGAGCATAAAGACCCGAACTGCCCTCAAGAAGACCTGATTATGAATCCTGCATCAGTCACTTCCTAGCTATGTGATTCTGGGCAAGTCACCTGTCATACAGTGGGTGCTTAATAAATATTTATTGACCGAATGACAACTTGATGGAATCTGTTTCCTCATCCATTTTACAGATGAGGAAACAGATTCCATCAAGTTGTCATTCGGTCAATAAATATTATCCCTGTAAAATGGGGATAATATCTCCCAGGGTTGTTCTAAGAATCATATGAGATAGCATATAAAGCTCTTTACAAACCTCAAAGTGCCATATGAATGCTAACTTATTTTTTTATATTATTATAAGCACCCCCCCCTTCCACTAAAGTCATCCTCCCGTGCTTCATTGTGACATGACTCAGGTGCTTGATTCCCCAACATCACATTAGCGGAAGGTACACCCTGCCACATCCTAAAAAACTAGGAAAGTTTCACCATGGACCCAGTGGCAGACGGTGTGTCTAAGAACCAACCAAGTTGAGTTTGGAAGTGCCGCCCCCAGATGGTTGGCCATGGAAGATGAATCATTTTCACTGTAACACCTGGGAAACTGAAGGAGGCAGGAGGAGTTATGATCTGCATCAGATAAGGGCTGAAATCCTTGGTCTTTGAAATCGATCCATTGAAGTACTGTAACATCAATAATGACTTTGGTACAAGCCATTTGCCAGAGAATTAATGATGGCCTCCAATTCACGGTAGAGTGGCCTCTATTTTGAATAGAGATCTATTCTCGGGATCCGGAATGCCAGGGTTCAAGTGTTCCCAACTCTGGACCAAATCAACTCAAAGTTGATGGCACCTCCTTGCAAAGCATCATTAACGTTCAAGTAGCTAAGTCAGTTCTTGAATGGTGTAGTGGTCCACTGGACGTGGAATCAGGAAGACCTG